CCCTTGTGGACAGAAGCAGATATCATGCAAGTATCTCTATCTATTCACATAAAATGGGAGTGTAATATTCTCAATGTCAAATTATCCAGAGGTGGAGGAATGTACCTGCTACAATCAGCTCTTCCAATCTCCAGATGGTTAGCACTGTCAAAGCTAGTCTCATATTTATGGCCAACCAGGAATCAATATGTGGGTGGAAGGAATGGAGAAGGAATGGAATGTTTTGTGCCCTGAATAAAAGGTAGGCAAACCACTCCAGAAGGAAAGCCTTCTCCTTCTCCATGAATCTCCAGTAGGCTAAGTAACATTTGTTGACTGATTTACAAGCCTATTTTTTTTTGTTTTAGCAAGATGTAGGAACATATGGCGCACCTTTTGCTGTGCCTTCCCCTTCCTAGGGCACATCTTTTGTGTAGACTGAAGTGAACAAGCTCTGGTCCTCTATTTGAAAAATGACTGGTTAGTTTACTCAGTACTCTGACCATTCAATGTGTTAATGTTACTACTGACGATCGTGCTATCACCACTTAATCAGGGAGCTTTGAAATGGTTGAACAGAAGCTCTCTGAAGCTTTAGGTGCTTTTACTGCCTATTACAGGGAAAACCAGCTGATTCCTAATCCCTCTAAAATGCAGACGTGTGCTTTTCATCTTAAAAACAGACAAGCATCTCAAGTTCTGCGAATTACCTAGGAAGGAATGCCATTGGAGAACTGCAGCACACCAAATACCTGGGAGTTACTCTGGACCGTGCTCTGACTTATAAGAAGCACTGCTTGAATATCAAACAAAAGTGGGTGCTAGAAATAATATTGTATGAAAGATGATTGGCACAATCTGGGAATCACAATCAGACACAGTAAAGACATCTGCTCTTGTGCTTTGCTACTCTGCTGTTGAATATGCATGCCCAGTGTAGAAAACATCTCACCACGTTAAAACAGTGGATGTGGCTCTTAATGAGATACACCACATTATCACAGGATGTCTATGACCCACATCACTGGAGAAATTACACTGTTTAGCTGGTATTGCACCACCTGACATTTGCCGGGAAGTATCAGCCCGTAATGAAAGGACCAAGGCATTGACATCTTTGGCCCATCCTCTATTTGGATATCAGCCAGCATGCCAACACCTAAAATCAAGAAACAGCTTCCTAACATCTACAGAGATACTTACAATAACACCTCAGCAAGTGAGATTCCAAAAGTGGCAAGCTAAAACCCAGCACCTCAATCAGTGGCTGAGACCGGATGAGAAACTCCCTCCTAGGCACACAGAAGAGTGGATGACCTGGAAGGCGCTGAATAGGCTGCACTCTGCTACCAGAAGATGCAGAGCTAACCTTAAGAAATAGGGCTAAAAAGTGCAGAGAAGAGCAAACCACAGACCACCTACTACAATGCAACCTGAGCCCTTCCACATGTACAATGAAGGATCTTCTCACAGCGACACCAGAGGCACTCCAAGTGGCCAGCTTCTGGTCAAAGGACATTTAGCATAAGGTCAACTTTTTTAAACTTTGTGTTTTTAAATGCATTTTAACTATACCCTCAACTCGCTTCTGACACAATACATAAAAATAAATAAAAATAAATACTGCTGTTCAGAAAAGTAGCTTGTTCCTAAGAAGTTATCACTATTGGTATGAATTTACCACTGGAAAAGAGAAAGAAATTCTCTCTGGTTTCCTCAAGTGGCCAAGTCATATGTTGCACACTGAACATTCTGTGGAAAATACAAAAGCCATTACAAGACAATCCTTGCTACTATAGCACCAGGTAGCTACCTTTCCTCTATTCCTTTCTATTGCTCAAATTGAGCCAGCGCACACACACAGTAATATGTATTTATGTGATTGAAAATGGTTCCTTACCCTAATACCGGAGTTCCCATTCATAGCCAGAAAGCAACCAGCAGTGATGCAATGACACTTCTGGTCACCAGCAAGATGCGTGGCACACTATGGCCCTCAGGTACTCCAGAGGAGAGAAAAACAGCACTTCGGTTGCTGGACCAGTTCACTCTGACATAAGAAAAGAATGAGGATGCCCTTTTTCCCTTTCATGGTCCACGCACTCTGGAGGTAATATACCAGGGATTATATGCTGGTGGTGGATGTGACCAAAGCCGGGGTAGGCAGTGTCATGGCCACATGAATGAGGCTTTTCCCCTTCTCTTCTCTTTTCTCCTTCCATCTTTCTTTTCCTAACTTCTGTTCTCTTCTTTCTCTCATCCTAGCAGGGTACTGGAGGAAGAACAAATTGCTCTGACCAAAGTGAGCTGATTACTTGCAGAGGGCTTTGAGAAATAGGCTGAGAACTACAGGTTGCCCAGACCTGATCTAGAAACAAGGAATAAAATCCAGAACTCTGGATTCATTTCTATGCACATTCTTCATATTCAGGTTAACAGCCATGCATGTTTACTTAGAAATAAGAACCACTGCGTTCAACTGAGTGATGCTCAATTAAACTTGAAATTAGTTGCAGCATTTTTATCCAGAGGCAAGTATCACTGTTGTTCAATGAGGCTTACTCTTAAGAAGTGTGCTTAGGATTGCATCCTTAGACTGAAATTTTATATCCTATTTCTGTTACCTTTGCAGATGTGTACTTGTATAGACATACATTCAATTAATTAGTTGTGTAAAACTTTCATTTGTTCAACAAGGAGCTCTACAAGTCTTTGGCACACGTTTAAATAAACACCTTGAAATACTATTCTATTTCAAAGCATTAATTTACTGCCTTTCAACTCACCAGGATCCCTGAGGCAATGCACAACTGATAAAAACATGTTAAATGCAGGAACTAAATAATTAAAACCATGCAGCTGTGGACAAGTCTACATAGGGACTACCAAACGTAGTGCCCAAACATGAATCAAGGAATATGGAAGGCACTGCAGACTAATTCAACCAGAGAAGTCAGTCATAGCAGAGCACCTGATGAACCAACCTGGACACAGCATATGTTTTGAGAACACAGAAATGCTGGAACACTCTAACCACCACGTCAGACTACACAGAGAAGCCATTGAAATCCACAAGCATGTGGACAATTTTAACACAAAGGAAGAAACCATGAAAGTGAACAAAATCTGGCTATCAAGATTTTAAAACTCTAGAATCCAGGCAGTAAATAAAGAACAACACTAAAAAAAAATGGGAATTCCAGACAGGAAACAATCAGGACCAGTTAACATCTCCCAACAAAGGATTCCGCCAGGCAGGAACCAGCCAGGCTTTGAAGCTGCAAGGCTATTCAATGCTAATCAAGGTGGCCATTTGCAACAATCACACTTGCCTCAAACAGACAAGAGTTCTTTCTCCCACCTTGGACATTCCACAGATATATAAACCTCACTTGCCTTGTTTCCAACAGACCTCACAACCTCCGAGGATATCTGCCATAGATGTAAGCAAAATGTCAGGAAAGAATACTTCTGGAACATGACCATACAGCCTGGAAAACTCACAGCAACCCAATGAAAACCCAATTTAAAAACATCCAATGTAGACTCATATAATGCAGTTTAACTGTATTACACTGCATTATATGAGTCTATAGCAGTGGTTCTCAACCTGGAGTCCCCAGATGTTTTTGGCTTTCAACTCCCAGAAATCCTAACAGCTAGTAAACTGGCTGGGATTTCTGGGAGTTGTAGGCCAAAAAATCTGGGGACCCCAGGTTGAGAACTACTGGTCTATAGTGACCATATAATGCAATTCCAAACTGGATTATATGGCAGTGTTGATCCAGCCAAAGCCTTGTCATTTGTACCCATCAACCTAGTGTCTTGAGATAGTGGGATATGTACGTAAAAGGATTTCTACTGATGATCTTAGATTTTGGGCAGACCCATATGGGAGAAGGCAGTCTTTCAAATATCCTGGCCCTAATACCGTTTTTCATTTTTTACTCCATTTCATTTGATTGAGATAACTTTTTTCATTTTTCATGATGTTGAAAGGGAGCAGATGGAGAATTCCTTCTATATCCATGCCGGACAGTCTATACAAAAGAAAAGCACCGCTCTGATGGGAATAAAAATTCCATCTTTGAGATCTAAGGCAGAACAGGGATCAATTACTTCAATTCTTACTGAAGTCACAGCACTTGAGATTTGATAGGAACTAGATCAGACAAGAACAAGAAACAAAAAAGAATAAAATAATATAATACAATACTAATTGTTACAAAGTAAAGAACACTCCAGTCGAGATAAGAGAATGCCTGAAAAATGTTTTCAAGCAAAAAACAACAAGCAAATATAGAAGCATGTAACAACGGCAAAAATGGAAAGCTTCAGAAGCCAGTCCAAGTGAAACATAGCTTTCATATTCCAGAGTTTGGGTTACACAGACTTGTTAGATTCTTAAAAGAAAACAGATGGGTGCTAATATACATCCACAATAGATCCTATCAGTGTAAATTCAACCCTTCTCTCTGACATTTTTGCTATTGTAACATAGTAAGAGGTTGAAGAAAAAGATTTCTTTGTATAGCTCCTCCCGCCCCCAAGTTTCTCTTTGCTGTAGAAACTGAATTGGGAATCAGATATATATCCACATTGAACTGATTAGAGACATTGGCAAAGTTGCAATGACGTTTAACTATGATTCAGATACAAAATTAAGAATGAGCATGTAACATCCACAACCTAGAGCAGAATTAAGCAAACTTCAGCGCTCCAGGTGTTTTGGACTTTAACTCCCACAATTCCTAACAGCCTATCGGGATTCCCCCAGGCAGGAACCAGCCAGGCTTTGAGAGTATTGCACATACTAATCATGAAATCTCAGCAATCAGTTTACATGATGTTTCATGGATAAGGATGGGGAACAAGTCAGATGACGAATAAACTACAACAATTAATTCAAGTGTAAGTGAAAGATAGTGTGTTAGATTCTATTAACAATAAATTTCTACTGAATGACAAGCATTGTAATCAACAAAATATTAAGAAATATTTGAATGGAAATAGCAACTTACCAAAGAATCTGAGAACATTTCTGCCCTTTTTTGCTCAAAAGAACAGATTTTGTCTTCACTCATTTTATCTGTATCAGCCAAAATATAATGTCTTGGACAATAAGCCTGGGAGAGGCTACCGAGTAACCTCAAGATTTCTGTAGTGTGTCCTCCTGAAAATTTCAGAAACAAGACAGTTAATGAAAGATTCATCAGCTATGTGATTTGTTGTCTTCGCTTTGGAACTTCAACATACAAGTGTGTTCATTACTTGGTGATCAAGATATCAAGTGGTGACTGACAGGTATTGTTGGAGCAATAACACATCAAACATCATAATTAGAACTTTCCCAATGTTTCAGACACAATCTTGTTCTATTCTGTTATTTCACAGACATGTGCCTTTCACCTTAAGAACAGACAAGCATCCCGAGCTCTGAGGATCACCTGGGAAGGAATCCCACTGGAGCATTGCAGCACACCCAAATACCTGGGAGTCACTCTGGACCGTGCTCTGACCTACAAGAAGCACTGCCTGAATATCAAGCAAAAAGTGGGTGCTAGAAACAATATCATACGAAAGCTGACTGGCACAACCTGGGGATCACAACCAGACACAGTGAAGACATCTGCCCTTGTGCTATGCTACTCTGCTGCTGAGTATGCATGCCCAGTGTGGAACACATCTCACCACGCTAAAACAGTGGATGTGGCTCTTAATGAGACATGCCGCATTATCACGGGGTGTCTGCGCCCTACACCACTGGAGAAATTACACTGTCTTAGCCGGTATTGCACCACCTGACATCCGCCGGGAAGTAGCAGCCAATAGTGAAAGGACCAAGGCAGTGACATCTCCAGCTCATCCCTTGTGTGGGTATCAGCCAGCACGTCAATGACTTAAATCAAGAAATAGTTTTCTAAGATCTACAGAGACACTCGCTGGAACACCTCAGCAAGCGAGAGTCCAAAAGTGGCAGGCTCAAACCCAGAACCTCAATCAATGCTGATACCAAATGAGAGACTCCCCCCTGGGCACACAGAAGACTGGGCGACTTGGAAGGCGCTGAACAGACTGCGATCTGGCACCAAGAGATGCAGAGCCAACCTTCAAGAAATGGGGCTACAAAGTGGAATCCACGACATGCAAGTGTGGAGAAGAGCAAACCACTGACCACCTGCTGCAATGCAACCTGAGCCCTGCTACATGCACAATGGAGGACCTCCTTGCGGCAACACCAGAGGCACTCCAAGTGGCCAGATACTGGTCAAAGGACATTTAATCAACTACCAAGCTTGCAAACTTTGTGTTTTGTCTATTTGTTTGTTTGTTTTGTTCTGTTAGAAATGTAATACAACTGTCTGGTTGCCCCTGACACGATAAATAAATAAATTTCACAGATACTTCTCTGAGCCCACAAGTGCTTGAATTAGCAATAGGTTAGGTAGCATTTCATAATGACACCCTTTACTGCCAAACACAATGTGTTTATAAGAGGTTTGCAGTCGGTGTCAATGTTATATTCTTTCTTTGTTTTTGCTAAGGTGAATTGCGTCCTACTACTGTGCTGCAACTGTCTCTATTGACTCAAAATAAGATCAAGTGCATGCGGAGATGCCTACTGTTAAATCAGTCCCTCAGTTTTATTTTTTTTTCAAAAAATAAAATAAAATAAACCATTCCTTTCCAAGGTAGGACTGAAAAGATACTATCATAAAATGCCAGAGAGTGAATTAAAGCACCATATTTAGTTTCTAGTAGAGAACTCATGGAGGGAGTGCCAACAAGACTGTACCCTAAATGGGCAACTGTTAAAAAAAAGTATTGCAGTGCTTGGGATATAGATCTTTGCAGAAGTACAAAAATATATTTTGGAAAATATCCCAAAGCACCTCTTTCCAACAGGCAAGTGAGGCTAATCCTACTCAGTACCCACTGGGGAGAAAAGGTATAGAGGACCTGTCACCCTCCAGGACTCCAATTCCCATCAGCCCTAGCCAGAACAGTAGTCACGAATGATGCAACTTGTAGTCCCTCAGTGTCTGTAAGGTCACAAGTTGTCCCATCCTTAGGACAATGTAACTTCCCACATCAGGTAGGATGGAAACTATTTTAGGAGAGAGAATCTTAAAATACTTTCTTGGTGGTTTGTTGTGGAAACAAGGATCAGTGATAAAGCTTCCATGGAAACACCTTTCCCCCCATGGTAACTCTCTTTCAGGAGTGAATTTCCCTTCCTAAGGGTAGATTTCTCTCATTTCCTGTTATCTCACACCTGTTCTTAACTACGGGTCATTTGTAAGATGGGTGTATGTAACTTGGAGACTACTTGTCATTAGATTTCTGATCAGAGACATTGCCAAGTTTATCTCAGAGGTAGCCAGGATAAGAAAACTTTTTGTACTAGACTCATGCTGAAACTAATGCCTTTGCATTAATGTGTGTGTTTTGCCTAGCACATCTTCTTGTGTCTTAACTCATGTAATAATATGTATTCACTTCAGTATCTTTTACCCTCCATTCGTGCCTCTTCAAATTCTACAGCACTGCTGGTCACAGCTGATCTCCAGCTGGAGCGCTCAAGGGCCAGGGCTTCCCAGTTCTCAGTGTCTATGCCAGAGTTTTTAAGGTTGGCTTTGAGCACCAGGCACCGCTTCGGCAGAAAGGTAACAGCGGTCCAAGCAGTCACGCCGGCCACATGACCTTGGAGGTGTCTACGGACAACGCCAGCTCTTCGACTTAGAAATGGAGATGAGCACCAACCTCCAGAGTCAGACACGACGGGACTTAATATTACATTTACCTATGGTGATCTCTGGCTTAAATGTACTTGGGGTCTATTAGTTCCCAAACTCTTGCTTTCTTCAATCTTTTGGATTCAATCCCCCAGAAAACTGGCCCATTTCCGAGGTTGCTGAGGCTTCTGGGAGTTGAAGTGCAATCCCTTTGGGCCTCACGCTGCCAAACAAACCGACTCTACAAAGGAACTACATTTCCCAGGACAACTTGCGAAAGCAGCGCTCCCGCATTATCAAAAAGCCCGCCGCTTTGCCTGCTGGGTATTGTAGTCCGCGTGGCCTACTAGACCACGCTGGCTGTTTTATGGGACTCCGCTGACTTACCGGATCCAGCCACCGCGAGGAGTTTGACGGTGCTCTTCCGTGGGGCGTGAGTCTCCTTCCGTGGGAAGAACCGCACCATGAAGAGCAGGAGCAGGAGCAAAAGGAGAGCAGCGGCGGCGACGGTGGCTAGCATTGCGTGGAAGGAGTTCATAGGAAGGCCATATCGAGAGAAGCCTCTGCTATATACGGGCACTACGGGAGCCGAGAGGGTTCAAAAATCATCAAAGTTCACACTACGATCACCACCATTCTTATCCATTTGTTGTCGTGTCCCTTTAAGTCGAGTCCAATGAATGAAGATCCTGTCGCAGTTTTCTTGGCTAGATCTTTTTTCAGAAAGGGTTTGGACTCACCTTCCTCTGAGGCTGAGAGAGTGTGACTTGCCCAAGGTTAGCAATGGGCCCCCGTCAACACTGTAATATAAAATCCAGAATATCCTCTTTGAGCTGGATTATATGGCAGTGTAGACTAATATAATCCAATTCAAAGCAGATAGTCTGGATTTTATATGGTAGTGTAGCTGGGGCCTGATTTTACAAATATCCACATGGGATGCCTCTGTTTCAGACTGATCATCATGGGAGCTGGGCTGGATGGCACTTGGGGTCTTTTCCTGTTCAGTGATTTTATGATCATTCACATATAAGGTAAAGATAAAGGTTTTCCCTGACATTCAGTCTAGTTGTGTCCAACTTGGGTTGTGATCATTTCCATTTCTAAGCTGAAGAGCCGCCGTTGTCCATGGACACCTCCAAGTTGCATGGGAGCACTGTTACCTTCCCACAGAAGCGGTACCTATTCATCTACTCACATTTGCATGTTTTCAAACTGCTAGGCTGAAAGAAGCTGGGCCTAACAGCGGGAGCTCATCCTGCTTCCCGGATTTGAACTGCCAACTTTCGGTCAGCAAGTTCAGCAGCTCAGCAGTTTAACTTGCTGTGCCACCAGAGGACCTTCATCCAGATACAGCAAGTGGCAAAAGTAATGGTGGGGTGGAGGCATAAATAGTGAACTCCTCTCCTGTACTGATACAACACAATGCCTGACTAGTAACAGTGTGCTGAAATGAAAAATGAATTTGTGTGGAATTCTATTTACATTGCTTTAGAGATTAGCTATCAGAAACCCACTGTGTTGCATGAACCAATGCAAAATTATTGGAAGGAGATCCACATTTTTTGAAGGCAGCACTGCAAATAATGTGATAGTTTGTTTCATTAATCATAAGGCACATGATCCCAAGTTTTTTGTATTACCGATTGTTTTTCTTTTTACCTTGACATCATTTCACCTTCTCTCCTATCCCATCTTTTATATCAACACTGAATCCTCCCACATACTTTCGGAAATGTGAGGGGATGTCAAGAAGGAAATATGTTCTCTCACCACACCAAATCACATGGGCACAATATTTTCACACTGACAACCAGTACAAGGTAATCTGTTAAATAGAGAATTGTCTTTTGCAGCTACCAACACGATCTTCAGGGCGTGTATCCAGAAATATCTGGAATGCAATAGGTTCTACTTCCACATAAAGATGGGAGTTAGGCATGTTCACTTAATTTCATTGGTTTTAATGCAGTTGGGTGTGCCAATCTCTGTGTAGGATCGTGGCTTCAATTATCTCATTTGCATTCCTCGCCTTTCATCCTGACAGCCTTGCAAAGCTTTCAGTTTCTTTCTTAATATTGCTTCTGTAGTTTGCAGTTTAGCATCCAGTGCTGTGAATAAATATTTACCCACACACCATTCAACCTTCACAGTAATGCATTTACTGGGCATTGTTAGCTCTCGAGGTACAAAAGATGTGCAGCGTTGGGAGGATGCAAAATCACTATATTGTGTCATAAATGTGTCATAAACAAAGGTAAACTAGCACTTGTAGTGGTTGCATCAGTATTCATCCCTCTAGCTGTGACACACCTATCCATGGTGCAACCCATGGCCTCCAAAGGCCACATAAGTTGTTGAACAGAGGAATGGAGTTTTACCTGTATTCAATTTCAATGCCACACAATCTCAAATTAAACACACAGCTTTTTGCAAAGCACTACAATCTGTTGGAGATCAGGAATGGATTGTCTTTGATGTCCCCTCCAATTCTAAGATGCTATGTTGGCTACAATACTTTTGGGACATCCTTCTGGCACAAGAAATACCAATGCTCTTGTTGGTGGAAGGAGAAGAAAGGGTGCAGGCACAGTGTCTGTGAAGGAGATAGCTTTGTGAAAATAAGATCGTTAAAACAGGAAGCTATATATTGCTGAAGGCTTTCATGGCCGGAATCACTGGGTTGTTGTAGGTTTTTAGGGCTGTATGGCCATGTTCTGGAAGCATTCTCTCCCGATGTTTCGCCTGCATCTATGGCAAGCATCCTCAGAAGTTGTGAGGTCTGTTGGAAACTAGGAAAATTGGGTTTATATATCTGTGGAAGGTCCAGGGTGGGAGAAAGAACTTTTGTCTGTTGGAGGTAGGTGGGAATGTTTCCATTGGCCACCTTGATTAGCATTTGATAAACAATGAGGAACACCTAATCACCTCTCAACAAAGGAATTTTCCATGCAGTAATAAGCCACACCTAAAAACTGTCAGGCCATCAAATGCTAATCAAGGTGGCCAATTAAAGCATTCACACCTACCTCCAACAGACAAGAGTTCTTTCTCCCATCCTGGACCTTCCACAGATATATAAATTAAATTTTCCAAGTTTCCAATAAACCTCACAACTTCTGAGGATGCCTGCCATAGATGCAGGCGAAACGTCAGGCGAAAATGCTTCTAGAACATGGCCATACAGCCTGAAAAGCCTACAACAACCCAGGAATTTTAATTATATTTTAACTATATTTTTACTTTTATTTGACAAATATTTATTTTTATAAACTTTTTATTTATATGTGTATTTATTTGTATTTTTTAAAATTCTGTTGTATTGTGTCGTGTCGTTATTAGTAGCCTTGAGTCCTTATGGGGAGAAAGGTGGGATAAAATTAAAGTTTACAACAACTACAAGATTTTGCATACTCTGCCTCTCTACATGAGTGTATATTGTCTGCATATATGTCCTGAGCAACACTGGTGTGGTATTCTTTCCTTGTGGCCCCATCTACATTGCCATATAATGCTGTTTCAGAATGCAGTTTAACTGCATTGAACTGGATTATATGAGTCTACCATGCCATATAATACAGTTATGCCGCTTTGAATCTCACCCATGGGATAAAAATTAATAATAATAATAATAATAATAATAATAATAATAATAATAATAATAATAATAAATAGGTACCATGACAAAGGATCTCAGCTGGCATTTGAAAACAATAAACATTGACAAAATCACGATCTGTCAACTGTAAAAAGCCACCTTACTTGGATCTGCGTGCATCATTCGAAAATACATTGCACTGTCCTAAATGCTTGGGAAATGTTCGACTTGTGATTATGTGATACGAAATCCAGCAAATATATCTCGTTTGCTGTGTCATCGTGTTTTTGTGTCAGTATAATAATAATTGCATTCTGAAATTGCATTGTTTGGCAATGTGGATGAGATCTGTGACTAGATTGCATCTTGTGAGGTTAGATGAAGGTGCTTTGCATGGACAGAAGGAAAATAGGTTAGGTGTGGCAGTAGAATAAAGTATGTAGCATGTGTCAATATATTATATATTATAATATGCTATAATTGCTGGGTATCTAAGTCATATGACATGTTCTGTCTTGAGTAAAGGAAGCTTTGCTAGATGAAGCTCAGTTGGTTTCCGAGTTGTCTAGAGCAACCATATATGCGTATGAAGGTCTTGGAGAAATTTGTTAAGACTGCAAAATAAGGCCATTATTGAACTGTTGGATGATCATGTCCCTTAAATTCAGGCAACAAGAAATGCATGGATACATGTTACATTTCCTTCCTTCCCTGACTTTTCCAATGGCCACTCAATCCACTCCACCAAGCTATCTAATGTTCATTGCAGTCATGCGGTTGGAGGCTCCCTTGGCGATCTTCTTTGGCTAACCTGCCTTCCTTCCCCAGCCTGTATTCCTTCTCCCATCTTTCCAATTGCTTCATCTTCCTCTGTCTTTTTCCTTTGTCTCCTAGTGCTCTGTCAGGTCAACCTCCATTCTTTCATTTGGTTGGAGCTCTTGAAGCAACCATAAAGAGGAAGCAGTGATGGCAGGCTCCAAACATTTTGAAAGCTACTCAAACAGAAGTTCTACCTCTGAAAAGAAGAATACATTGAGGAAAAGGAAGGCATATATAGCAACCTTAAGAAAAGTGCAACCAGGCCTCCACATTTGCTGGGGCTAGGGACACAGGACCCTCATGAAAGTTAAACATGTGCATTAAAATAGCTATTTTGAAATTATGTTTCATATCTACTGGTATTATATAAATCTCAGTAAATATAAAATTTTATAAAATTATTTTTAATGTGTTGTTGAAGGCTTTCGTGGCCAGAATCACAGGGTTGTTTTGAGTTTTTTGGGCTCTTTGGCCATGTTCCAGTAGCATTCTCTCCTGACGTTTCATCTGCATCTGCGGCTGGCATCTTCAGAGGTTCTGTTGGCAGTGAAGCAAGTGGAGTGTATATACACCTGTGGAATGTCAAAGGTTTAAAGCAAGTGTAAATGTTGCAAGTGATTACCATTGAGTAGCCTTGATTGACTTTTCTACTGCAAGGCTACTCAATTCTAATCAAGCTTACTAACTGCAACATTCATACTTGCTTCAAATAGACAAGGGTTCTTTTTTTACTTTGGACATTCCACAGATATATATACACTCCACTTGCCTCATTTCCAACAGACCTCTGAACAAATCTCTGAGGATGCTTGCCACAAATGCAGGTGAAACAACAGGAGAGAATGCTACTGGAACATGGCCATACAGCCCGAAAAACTCACAACAACCCAGTGATTCTGGCCACAAAAACCTTCAACAACAAATTGGTAAATGTATCTTCTTTTTGGCTTTTGAGAATACAGTAACCCTCATTTTGGTCATTACTTCTGCCACTCCTGCTCATGCAGATCAGAAGGATGCATCTAAGAGATGGGGTCCAGATTAAACCTTCTGCTGTTATATACTTGTCTATGTGTACAAATACCAGATGGACCTCTTAGTTTCCTACCTGGACTAATATTTATTTATATTATTTATTTACTGTATTTATGTACTGCTTTTCTCACCCCTGAGAAAAGC